TTTTCCTCCCCGATCTCCCAAATCGCGTTATTATTAATTTTTAAATGAGCGCTCCCTCCGCCCGCTGCCGCCGCTGCTCCCGCGCCCCCCGTCCGCCCCGGGCGCGCTCCCGGCCCGGCCCCGCGCTGTGCGACCCCCGCTCGGCGCGGCCGCTCTGAGCGCACGGCCGCCACTTGCCCTCTGCGGGGCTCTCCCCTCTCGTCTCGGAGCGTTACCCTCTCCCAGCGCTGCGATCTATTTTTTTTTTTAATTTTTTTTTCTAATTTTTTTTTTTAATTTAATTTTTTTTAAACCCTCCCGCTCTGGGACCGCTCCACGTTCCTAACCCCTTCCTAAATTGTCGGAGAGCTCCATTCCCCTCCTCTTCCAGCACCACCGCCGTCGCCGCCGCCACCACCATCACCTCCTCCTCCTCCTCCTCCCCTCTCCTCTCCTTTTTGGCAGCACCAGGACGTCCGGTGCGGCGGTGGCAGCGCGCAGCGAAAGCGGCGCGAGCGCTCCGTGTGCTTCCCCCCGTCGCGAGGTGCCGCGCAGAGCCGGGCGGAGGGCTGTGCTCTCGGCTCGCCATGAGCGCCCAAGGCGAGGGACCCGGCCAGCCTTCCACCGCCGCCCCGGAGCAACCTGCCGCCGCCGAGCCGCAGAAGCGAGGACGAGGCAGACCCAGGAAGCAGCCCCAAGTCAGTACCGCGCGGCGCCGCGGGTGCCGCGGACGGGGGCTGAGGGCTGCGCGCGGGGCTCCGCTATTGTGGCGGCCGCTAGCCGGGGCCGAGCCGTGTCAGTGGGGAACGCGGCTCCGACCAACCAGCGCCCGCGGGGGCACTTGGAGCTCAGTTTGAAATTGCGAAAGCGGGGAGCGGGGGCTCGCCGGGCGCGCACCTCTCTGAGCCAGCAGGGTCTCGTTCGTGCGTGCCTGAGTGTGGCGGTCCCACCGGGGCCGGAGTCCGAGCGACCCGGCCCCTGCCTGCCCCCGGAGCCCGGCGCTGAGGGAGAGGAGGGGGTTTGGAGGGTCGCGTAGGGCTGCCTTTTTTTCTTTCTTTTTTCTTTTCTTTTTTTTTTTTTTTTTTTTTTTTTTTTTCTTAACGCGTCTCCTCCATTCCCCACCTCCTCCCCCTGCAGAGCGGTGCCCCCGTTCCGTTCACGGATGTGGGGGCAGCCGGGGGGGCTGCACTGCCCCGCACCGCACGACCCCGCACCGCCCCGCACCGCCCCGCACTGCTCCGCACCACCTTCGCCCCCGCCGCCCGCCCCGGGCCCGCAGGGACCGACAAGCGCCAGGATGGCCGCGCGCTGCTCACCTCACCCCCAGCTCTCACCCGTCCGCTCCCACCTCCCCCGAGTGCCATTGTCGCAGCGCCCGGGTGGCCGCGGCCCGGTGCCGCGCGCCCGCGGCCCCTCGCAGGTCGCGGCTGCGAGCACGGAGTTGCCTCCCGCTAAGCGGGCTCTCTGCGATCGCCCCATTCATTCAGCATCAGCCGCTCCGGGGGCTGTGGGAACCGCGGGCCGGGCCCCTCGATGCTGCGCTGTCGGGGTTGAGGGCTTCGCTTTCTGGGAGCCGTATCCCCGGAGCCCCTCGGCTTCCAGCTTTGCCGCAGTGCCGCGCTGAGCAGCTCCGGCCCGCTGCCCCCATCAGCGCCGTTCTGGGCCTTCCTTTATTTATTTATTTTTCTTTTCAATTCCCCCACTCCTACCTTTTTTTTTTTTTTTTCTCCCTTTTTTTCTTCTTTCTTTCGTTTTTCTTCTTCTTCTCTTTTCTTTCTTTTCTTTCTCCTTTATTTTCTTTCATTTATTTTAGCATTTGAATGCACGTAAGGGAAAACACTCGGCGTACCCTCGCAGCGGTGCGGTGCCGTGGGGCTCCCGCCGAGGCCCCGCGGGGAGGAGACCCCTCTGCAGCCTCCCCTGAGCCCTCGGTGGTCCGAGAGCTGCGGGCTTTGGACCGCTGTAAGTTAACAAAGGGCATTTCATTGGTTGTGCCCCATCCTGCGCTCCGAGTGAAACGCGAAGTATTGGGAAAGTGGGAGAGTTCGGTGAGCCCGAACCCGCATAACTTACCCCAGTTGCGCAGCACTGGTTGGGCACTGTCAGAAACAGGAGCTGGCTAAAACTGCCAAAGCAATCATTGCTCCGGTCTCGGCGTTTTAGACTTTTTTTGTTTGTTTATTTCAGATCCTTTATCTCCCCTAAGGCTCCGCTGGAGGGAACTTTTGCATTTGCATTTTGCTGCGAATCAATTCTGGTTGAAATAGGTGTGAAAGTAATGCAGAACGGCACCAAAAAAAAAAAATAATAATAAAAAAATCCACCCGCAGTATTTGTCTCCCTGGCAGAGAGATTAGTCTCAAACCCTTCTTTCTGGTTTTCCAGTAGTTAGCTTTGGGTTTTTTTTTTTTTTTTTTTTTTTTTTTTTTTTTTTTTAATTTTTCTTTCTTTCTTTCTTTCTTTTTCCTGAAGGTGTGTGTGTGCTAATTGTGTCTGGTTATAATGAAACGCGATTAAAATTAAATGGATAACTCCGTTAACTTCTGAATACTCATTACTGCACGAGGGAAGCCATAGCCATCTTCTTTAAAAACTGCTTTCTGCTGTAGCTTGCTGGGGAGAGCACTGGAGCTTCTCAGGGCTTTCTGAGCAATTGCAAGGAAAGTTGAACTCCCTCAGTGTGCTGATGGCATTTTTCTCTTTACCTCGAGTTGTTCGGTTTTTCGTGTGGTACTTGAAACGTTGTTGCATTTCTTTAGGCTGTTAATTCCTACGCTTTCAGTAACTGCTCCGTTGTAGTTTGTCCTTCAGATCTCGGGTGCTGTAGCTGCTTGCCACAACAGCATGTTTTCCTGTGTTTAGGAACCAACTGGTGAACCATCTCCTAAAAGACCAAGAGGAAGACCCAAGGGAAGCAAAAACAAGAGTCCCTCTAAAGCAGCTCAGAAGGTGAGAGCATGAAAGAGAAAATTCCTAATGCTTTTTTTTTTTTTTTTTTTTTAAATCAAGTGGTAGCAAAGGATGCAGCCATATAGGCTGTGAGCAGTGGGGCTGGAGCCTCTGAGAAAGGCTCCATGCAATGTATGTACATACAGCGTGTAGTTTGTATTTTAAGTTTACAAACAGCAGGACCCAGGGCACAGAACTCAGAGGGGCAGCCTGCTCCTTGAATAGTGAAACACCACCATGCATCTGATGCATTTTCTGAGATCCCTGCATCAAGCAGTGAAATCAGTGTTAAGCATACTGTATCTCAGTGTAGGTTTTTGGGAGAAGATGTATTTCTTGCCCACTTATGGGCTTTACAATACTGACCAAATGTGCGTACTAAAGCTCAGTGTGTTTTGTCAAACACGGGTTAATTAGAAGAAAATCCAATTGAGCCTTGATGGAAATAAGCGCATGTATTGAAATTTACAGCTTTAAAATGTGCTGGTAAAGTAAACTGTGAGTTACAGTAAAAGCCCTCGATATCTCGTTTAGAAATCATCTTCTAAGAGGCTTTCCCTTGAAGTGCTGTTTGTCTTCTGAGCCCCTGCCTGTGCCTGGGGATGGGAGCAGCGTGCGTCTGTGGCTCTGCCTGCACCCAGCTCTGGTACAGCCTCCCTGGGCTCATCCCACTTACTGCATGGGCTTCGACAGCAAATTCAGAGTGCCTTCATTGTATCTGAATCTGGGAAAGCTCAGTGTCAGAAAACTGCTATCAAGGCAAATCACACCTTGCTATTGGAGTTATTTTAGTGAAGGCAAATAGTTGCGTGGAGGCTTGGAAGTAAATGCTGAGCTGTGTTTATGGTGATGGTCGCGCAGCAGTTAGCACCAATTCGCAGGTACTAAATTGGAAACAAAAGCTTACAAAATCTGGTAGGGAGCTGCGATGCTGAAGGCTATCAGTGTCTTTAAGCAGATCTGTGGCAAAGTCCGGGTGGAAGGTATTTGTAGCCTCAACTCATTATGGTTCATTTTTCATTGTGCCTATGGTGCTGACCTTATTTAGTTTGATAGCTTTCAGTGTTATAAATTCCTAGAGCAACTGCTGATAAGTATTCAGTTATTGGGGGGGTGATGGGGCTTTCATGTCTGCTTTGCTCCAAGCTTCTCAGTATTTGTTTGAGGGATGTTTTCCAGCTCTCATAAATGTGAAATAGGTGGGTTTTGTGTGTGTGTTTGTTTTGTGTTGTTGTTTGGCTTTTTTTTAACTTTCTGAGCTGCAGAAAGCGGTGTATTCTGACTAGAAGGTCATGAATTAGTAAAAATGCTTTACAGGTTAAGCATTTAAAATATATCAAGCCACTGTCCAACCTACTGACCTTCGAAAGTCGTTTTTTTTTTTCCTTTGTGTAATAAAAATGTTCTTCAGATTCACTTTATAAAAGTTAAAATTTCGCTCTTGGAAAGGGAAAGAGAAGTTTTTTATTAGACCAGCAAGATCAAGTGTGAGCTTTAGTGTTTTAAATATTACTCTTCAGAGTGTTGGCTTTCCTAGGAGAAATATTTGTAATGAGATTAGGTTTGAAGTAATTCATAGAAAGGTGTTTTCAAAAGATAGACATTTCTGAGAGAAGCATTAATGTTATTTCATTTATATGAGTGATTTGAAAATTGATATTAATGGAAAATAACATGAAATCTCTCTTACATCTGTGGGCATATCAATTCAAGAGCTTTCTAGATGATTCTGGTGCACACGGTTGTTTTTTTTTAATCTAATTTATGATCTGAGCAATTTCACTGTAGCATTTTGATTTTCAGAACGCATCAGGTTACCTCCCTAATTAAAGCAAACCTTTTTCAGGTTTTGATATTATAAAAAATTCACCGAAGTCCACATGTCCTTTTATCATTTAAAAAAAAATCCTCGAGGGGTACGTAATTACTGGTTTTATTTGTTTCCAGGTTTAAGGATTAAAATATGTAAATGTTTGATAACTCTCCTAAAACACAAAAGGCTCATAAAGCCTTCCTAGAAAAAAGCATCTGAGATCACATTTCCACTAAATATTGTAGCTCTTTTCCCAAATAGATAATTAACCCTCTCTGAAATGATTCAGCTTCTCACCAGACATCTGAACCGACCTCTCTAGCTGATATTAATGTTGATAGTTTTTCTACCAAGGGTATGAATGGAGAGGCTTTGGCACTGTAAGAAAGCCCCGTTTTGGTGGTGGGGTTATCACCTCTGAAAGCTGTGTGCTGCATGTTGTGACAGACATATTTGCACATACAAAGATGTAAGACTTGCATTTAAGGCTTTCTATTCCCTGTCTCAGCTCTCAGAGTGAGCTCACGCCGCTCAGTCCCCCGTGCATGTGAACATGGGTCCTGCCCACACGCTTGGAAGTTGATGGAATTTCTGAAGAGTGGTGTGTGGCCTTTGCTCCTCCAAGTTGGTGCATTGAGTTGTGCTGCAGGGTTCACAACATGCGAGATAAACGCACCCACTGAGCAGACGTGAGAACGCTCTCGTGATTAATTGATGGGGTGTTCTCTTGCAAACCATTACACATCACAATTAAAAATACATTGCACAAACCGGCAGTCAGTTAAAAATACTCGAGTGCTGGGGCTTTGTTTTATTATGCTTCACAAAGTAAATGCGGATGGCCGACAGTTTGCCCTAGAATCTGCCCTAGAATCATGATTGTGTTGTGGATTTAAATACCTCGGTTCATAGGACTTTTTAATTATTTTTTTTTCCATTAGTTTTCAGAGCTTGTGTTTGGTCTTAGTAAACTGGCCTTGGGGCATCTGAAAACAAACTGTGCTTGTTAGGAAATTAGCAACGTGAAACTTGACAATGCATACAGAATGTTGCAAGACCAACTGGATAGCTAATAATGCAGCAATTGCTCTAATTTTAGGCAATACACGGTTAAAAAAAGCACATTTGCATATTACATGTACTTCACTTGTTATAAAATGGGCACAAAAGGTAAGCATCATTTTCTAGAAGAATCATTTCTCACTTCAGTTTTTGTGAACAGAACAAACACAACACATTAACACAGGAGGAGAGAGCCACCAACAGCTTCTGGTCACCTTGTGCTTGAGTCCGCACAACCCAGCTGTTACTCAAATCTGTGCCTTTAAACGTGTCATTCTGTTACTGATTTAAAATATTGGTAAAAAATTAGCACCAAAAAAAAAAAAAAAAAAAAGGTTTATATTTTTTGTAAAGAACAACTTGGGTTTTGCAGCCGAGTCATAGTAAGGATGTTCCTTTTCAGTTCTTGGATGCTGTGTGGTTGAGTTCTATTCGTTAGGCTGTGTTGTGTTCCCAGCCCGTCGCATTTCCCTGTGCCATTCAGGGGCTTTTCTTTGTTTGGCTCCCACAGTTGGGCTTCACAAAAATACCATAGGGGCATAAATGCTCTCTTGTTGGGAAGAAAAAAGAACAATTATAGGGTCAGAACAAGGAAAAAACGTGCTAACGTCTGTATGTTTGCCTGAAAAGAAAACGTCAGGAAGGTATCCCAGGAATATCTGTAAATAAAATCTCTTCTAAAATTTGCCTTCAGTACAAGCATCTTGAGTCATGTTGCAGTTATTGAAGTAGTAAACTTCACCGATGATACCAGATCTTGAAATGTCATTCTCTGAAAACCAGAACCTGTGTTTCTGTGTGTGACGACACTTCGTACCGTCTCTCATTACATGGCCAGAGTTTGGTATGTGGAAAACCACGTCCCTGAGTTAAACGGTCCAAAGGTAAAATAAAAAAAAAAAAAAAAAAATGTTGCATGTGACCAGGACTCTGCTCTAAATTGGTTCATGAAAATCTATTTGGCTTTTCCCATGTTTCATTCATTCTTACCGGCACCAATCGTAGCAGACTGAAAGGGAAAACAAGTTCACGTTTATCAAGGGATCACAGTAGAGTTATTGTACCTAAAAAAATCAGATTGAAAAAATCAGACTGCAAATGCTCTGAGCAAGGTGGGTGAAGCAGGAGATGGCTCCTGTTTAGAATTAAAACAGGTGAAGCAGACACAGCAAGCGCAGTAGTTTTGTATCTAGCCAATGCCTACATTTCTTCTAAAAAAGAGAAACAAATAGCAAAAAGGACTTTTCTATAAGTTCCTTGCACAAGCTCTTTTGGCACAGTTTGACAGCAGCATTCCTTGCAGTGGGACCTTGCCGTTGGTTCACCTGTCTGAGCTCTGACACATTTCAGCTGAGGTCTCCAGCAGATCATTTTGCAGAGTGGTTAGAGTTCCCAAAGTTTGGGTTCTATTGTATTTGCCATCTTCCTTGACAATAGATAGATGCCCAAAGAGCACTTTATAGTCACTCAATTATTTATAGTTGTCTTGTTAATTACCTGCGGCAGCACCAGCTGTTTGGGCATGGCTGTTGGTGCAGCATGGAGATGCAGCGATCCGAGGCGACTGGGTTCCATGGGGCTGGTGGCTGCCATTCAGGTTGGACTGGCCTTGTGGTGTGGGGCTTGGCTGGATTGCACACCTGTCAGAGACATGTTGATGGTGTGGTGGTGGCTGGTGTGGTCATCGTTCGGGACAAAAATAGCATTCCCCTATAGATCATGCACTGAAGAGCACGTCAATCCAGTTCTAGTCCTAAAATGCGACACAGTAATAATGAGATGTTGATATGATTGGTTATAAGAAGTTTTTCACAAATTATCATAGCCTTGGTTTGATTATGCACCCAGCCCTCCTCTGAGTTCGGTGATTCCATGCCTTAGATGCGCAGAACAAGAGGATGCCTCCTAGCATAGCGCCGAGTGCTGAGGAAATCCTGACCAAACACATCTCAATTTCAGAGAGTGCTTTAGAGGATTAGGGCAGCAGCTTCCTTTCTGCGTGAGCAATTACAGGCTGCTGCGGGTGGGGTGGCTGAGCGCCGCGCTGTGCTGCCCAGATACGGACCCCTGTGATCAGTGGGTGGCTTTGGGCTCTCCTGGGATTTGTTCCCAGCTTCAGAGGCAACACTTCAATTAAAGCAGAGACCTGATGGACAGACATGGTTTAGATTATGTAAATACCTGTGGAATACAAAAAGCAAAGCTTTTGCGCTTACTTGTTCCCATTCTTATTAATTACTTGAAAATTATACAGAGAAACATTGAATAATTTGTCTGATCTACAATAAAACCTTTCCTCAAGCCCCCACATTAAAAGGCAGTCTTGTGCTGCTGGAGAAAATACGGGCTATGTTTGTGACACGCAACCTCAAAAAAAATATCCAGATGGAAAGAAGGGGAATATTTTGCTAAACTTCACGCCTTTTTATCACCACTGGACTGGCTCTGCTGCTTCGTGGTAGTTCCAGGAGTGTTTTGTCTTCCTTTGCCCTCAGGATGGGGATAAACACATCCTCTCCGCTGGTTCCGGTTGCTCACTTGCTGCAGTTTAGCCTGTGGAAACCCTCCTATTTACTTACAGAGTAGATCTGTACCAAAACATAGTAACTGGCATTCCCCGCTGTTTGCTCAGCTCACCTCTGGGGAAGATTTGGTTTTGATAAGGCTCTGGAAATGTTTTTCCTCTAACGGGAGGCAGAACTCGCAATGCAGCAGGAGCCTGGCGCCTGTTGGTGTGAGGGTTCCCCAAGTGGTCTCAGCCCCTGGAACCTGGCTGCGGCCTTTCTGGGGAGATGGCTCACCCCCCCCCCCCCCCCCCCCCCTGGAGTGGAGCTTGCAGCTCCCACCATGCCTTTAGTAGCGTTAAGTGGGAGACAAAAGCAGTTTTAGTTTCCAAAAAGTTAGATTTTTTTTCATAGATTTTTGAACCTTTCTTGCATCCTTCAGGTAATTAAGTAGGGAAATATGGAACACTTTAAAAGGACCCAAAACTCTGAAATAGACAGCAACTGTATGTAGCAAATTCACTTTAACAAGTATTCTCATAAGAGGGTTTCACCTTACATGTAATGCTGGTATAAACGATTAAAGGACAAGTTTACTCTTTTAACAAGTCTGAGTGATAATTTTGCCCTTTAGGAGTGTGAATTTTATTTTTCACAGCTTTTTTTTCTTGGTGAGATATTTCTTTTAGAGTAATTGCATTTACCTTGTAGTGCTGTTTGTGTAGGGATTCCTCCGCAGCTCCTTAGGTTCAGGTTCTCTGGCAGAGGGATCCACCGTGCCCAGTGTTAGGTGACAGTGTATATTACAGAGATTGACCTGCAAGTGATCTACTTAATGAGATGGCTGATTTCTAGGGGCTAATCAAACATACCTACAGTGAACTGGAAACTAAACAGTTCAAGGAAGCATGGAAGAGCATGTGTAGAATGTATGCTAGAAATGTTTGTTCTTAGCAATGTCTGAGGCAGCGGAAGTTCTACTCTCACAGTGGCAAGATCTCTCTCTCACTCTCATTGGGAGCAGGGCTGTTGCCTGAAGGGGTGTGGATGGGCAGAGCCTATCTAGGGAAGACTCGTGGAAAAGTCTGTACAAGAACCCAGATTTCCCTAAAGGTGAGCTACAGAACCAACTGCTGAGCTCATATAAATGTCACTGTTACTTCTAGGGCACCTTCCATGCTGTTTCCTTACACCTCGAATAGGATGCATGTTTTGGAGCACTGAAAGGTTTGCTTAGAGTTTGAGGTGCACATCTACCCGGAAAAGCTCATGAGGAGTAGAGGAGTTACCTTCTATGTGAATGAACACACGTTTGTGGTAACAGTCTGTCCAAATCCATTATGTGCATGAACATCAGGAGCCTGAAAGGAGGAGTTGTAGCTGCTATGAAATGCTTTGTTCAGGCTTGAAACAGGCTGCATATCAAATGCAGCACCTTGAGGTGATGGCTGATGGCTGCAACCCATGGGAGGTTAGATGTGATGGTGTTGCAGTTCGGCAGGTCCCAAACTTGCCTCATGTCCCTGTCCACAGCACAGACCAAAGCAGGGTGCAGCGAGGTGTCCTCTGGCCCTGTGGGCTGGGAAATGGCAGAAAATACATCACAGGCACCTCCTTTCCCTGTGGGCTGAGGAGGATGCTTGGTGCCACACAGGTGAAGTACTGATGGGTAGTATTGCAGGAGAGGAATTCCTTGTTACCAAGGTTGTTAAATAATGCTGAGGTATAAAATACGCTGTGTTCCTTTTTTCCTTTACAGAAAGCAGAAGCCACTGGTGAAAAGCGACCCCGAGGGCGGCCCAGAAAATGGGTAAATATTCCACTTTCAATCATTTGATTTATTTTCATTTGATTTATTTTCTGTGTTATAAAACATGTTACAAGTCCATTCTCTAAGGAAACAATTATTTCTGCTTCGTTTGTGAAAAAGAACATCCATCTTCTGTGTCTGTTTGTTCTGGTGGATTGACTAAAGGGTTAAGAGAGCAGAAAAGTTAACCACAGCTTCCTACCTTTAGACTCTGGTAGTTTGCTCAAGACACTTTACTATTGAATGTTTGCTGGGAGTGAATATTTATGTCTCTTATCAGCATGGAAAGAGGCACAGTTCTTCCTTCAGAAAAGAGTAGCAAAGAGATAACTTGCTCAGTAATCGAGTAACAAAGGTTAAAGGGGCACTATCAGACATCCGAAGGTGATTGAGAGACATGATAACATTCAGATGTAGTTTGTACAACGCAATGTATAATGTGCAACATTCCCTGGAATTACGGTATATTTTCCTTGATTTCAGTGAGAAAGAGCATAAATGAACAGCAGGATATTTGCTTTTAGAATTAGGTTGTTCTGCTCTTCTCTCTCTCTTTCTCTCTCTCTCTCTATATGTATAGAATGTATATATAAATTTTATCTTTTATATATATGTATATATATATATAATTGTAGTCACAATAGTGTGTTTTGTTTGAAACTTGCTCTTTTCCTGGCCATTTACTCTTCAGATGTGGCCATCAGACAAATATGTTTTGATTCTTTGGCCATGGAAAGATCTGAGTTTCATGTACCTGACACTTTTTCTCTCTGATGTCTGCATGTGCCAGCTGTCCCATCTTGCATGCTTCTGTAGTTGTCTTTTCCTTTTTCTGCTCAACCTTCTTTAGACTTCTTTTTCAAATCCCTGCCCAGCTCAGTTTTGCTGTCCTGCCGTTTTTCCCCTTTGGTTCAGTTCTTTTGCAAGGGTGTTAACACTGCTGTCAACATGCACGCTTCTGAAGGCTCAGAGCACATCAGAAGGTCCTTAAAACTACTGCTGATGTTCTCCAGAGCATCAGCAGCTAAGCACAGGAAAGGGCTTTACCAGTCACATTAAGATCTAGTTCTGTAGCTTTGTCCAGTGATGAAGTATCCTAGGGCATTTCAGAAATTCTGCAGAGAAAACATTCACACATACTGTGTGTTGCTTATGCCTGGAGTTTTTGGATGAGGCAGATTTCAGATACAAGCATCTCCTTGGCACTAGGAAGCAGTGCCTTCCCAAGGCACCTTCCCAAACCTACCTGTGCTGGTGATGTTCCCAAAGGCAGCTTACAGCAGGCGCAGTAAAAGATAGATTAGTTACCGCCTGCTTCCTCCCATTTGGTTCTGCACTTGCACATGTGGATGCTAAGTGTTGTTGGCTTGATCCTCACCTTGGGTGCAGTCCCAGGGGAAGAAGCAGAAATAGCTGTTTTATGAGAGTAATTTATAACAGGCAAGCCATCTCCACTGATTGAGGAATGCGTGGTGGTTGAACAGGGGTGGCTGAATAGCTTTATGAAAAGGGAAAATGTAGTGGCATGAAATGTTCAAAGATTTTCTCTAAGTGCTTGTAGTCAGAAATGAAGCGAGTTTTCAGTGGAAAGAGCTGAACAATTGTGGGTTTTTTTGGGCTAGACTGTTTCCCTTTTACTTTTGTATCTCTGTGGGGAAGAGTATGGGGAAGAAGGAGTAGGCGGTATCAGTGGAACATTAGATTCAATATGGGCTGAATTGGATTGAAGAATCTGATTTACAGAATAGGGAATTGTTGGCTATTCAGTATGCATATGCATTGCTTTATTATGCACCCAACTTACAATTGGGTTACATGCTTACAACAATTTCACTTTTTTTTTTTTTTTAAAGTAAGGCATATTTAAGACTCAATAATTACTCTCGTATTATGTCTATAGGAAGCACGCTTTGTTTACTTGCATCTTCCAGTGGTGTGATTTCTTGTGATTTTCAGAGAGAATGCTCATATCTCTAGCTCTCTCACAATCTCTTACTGTGGTAATTCTGTAGGCTCTGAGAGTCAAACATACCTTTTTCCTCTTTCTTCTCTCTTTCTGGTTTAGATTAGTTTCACAAGTTCCTTCTCTGTGTATGGTGACATACCTTATTTTGCTCCAGAAATAAATGCAGTTAAATTATTACAAGCCATTATAGTGCCTACTATAAGTAAAATGTGTAAGCGAGATCAAAGAGGGAGTCTGCCTAACAGTAGCTGGCACAATATCATCCTTCACGTTTTCATGTATTCAGAAGATGCAGTTTTCTATCACCCAAACTTCAGTGAAGTCCTTAGTGGTTATTTTCTTGCTTAATCCCATTTTACTTACATACCAAGCCTTGATGATAACAGTTCTGTACCAATTAAAGTAAGGAGTCTGAAGATTTTCTTTGGAGAGGACAGAATTCTGCCTTTCAGGTATTTTCCTAAGATTGTGACCCTTTTTTGCAAGTCTGGAGGTTCAATGTCATATGTTGTTCATCAAATTGTAAAGTATTATTTCTGCTGTTTCCTTCAGTATGCACACACGGAGACATATGAGCTAACAGACCACTGCAGAATTCCGGTAGCTGGTCTTTCTGCCGGTTCAAATTAAGTATTTAATGTTTGTGACTAGCAAAATAGTTATTTATATAGCATTTTTTGGAAAAGAAATAAATCTTGCCTAATAAAAAACTTGGAAGAGAGGGTCCTAGCGAAGAGGGCAAGGAACCCGGCATGTGATACATCCAGTGATCTTTTCAGAGCAATCATGTGGGCTTGGCAAAGCTGTCAAAGAAAGAGGGCCGTCTGTAGAACAGACAGTAAAAAGTGGCAAACTCTTCTGAAAATAAAATACTCAGATACATAGAAAAGCTTTCCAAATGTGGAAGGCTAATTGAATAAAAATCCTGACCGATCACACAGATGGGAAATGAAAATATGTGGAATCAGAAACACAATGTCTGCTGCTGGAGAACTCATCTTCGCTGTAAGTTGCTGCACATGTGTGAAATGCATTGAAAGCTGTGAGACTTATTAATTGGGAGAGAGGTAAAACTCTTCATGACCTTGGTACTCTGTAATTTTAGAGGTTTTAGTGCAGGAACACCTTCTAAGCTCTTTGGCTGCGTCTGCATTAGCATCTTAGGTCAAATTGGGAGTGTGCTTTGGAATCAGATCTCCTAATTGTCCCTAGTTATTGTTTGCATTGCAGAGCAGCCTCAGAGCTCATGGGCTGGATTCATTTTGAATGAAACAAAATTGGAAGACATGCTCCAGTAGTGCATCTAATGCAGTCCAGGAGGCATTCAACTCATAGGCTAGAGCAAAGCAAAAAAAACCAACCTCTTGAAAGGTACGTTGCGTGGAGTCAGCCTGTTTTCTTCTGCTTTCTTGATAGTGGGGATGTAGTCTGTGCTGCTTGGAAAAGGCAGGTGAAGCAACATGGCTTTAATTAGTAGAATTATGTGCCACAGGTATAAAGTCAAATTCATAGGCATGCCCAGAAATCATCAAAACGTTTGCCTTGATTTCATCAGGCATTCTCCACTGGGGTTTGATGCTGCTTCTTGTGGAATCAGCAATCAGTTTTGCCTGCGTAAAGAGCTTGAAATCAAAGATGGCATTCTATTCTATTCTATTCTATTCTATTCTATTCTATTCTATTCTAT